TTTTTTTTTCTTTTCATTTAACCCTCGATTTTACTGTATCGTAAAAATAAAATGTGAAAATCGAAGAAACATGTTTCAGGTATAAAACATAGCTCAACTAATCTACTTCAATATAATATCTGTCGTACAATAACAGATCCATGCTGGTCGAGTCATGTAAATAATCTAGTTGTCAGATACTTACTTCTTCAAATGAGATCCCTCGTCTGCCCAACCGACGTATTTTGTAACTGGAGTCAATAGCTGCTTCAAGAACGTGATGTATCGTTTGTAGCCAGGGCTCTCGCTCAGTCTGTCTTTCCAAGAGTGCAAGTAGCCGAGCGCTGTGGTCCACGGCACGTAGTCCCTCTCGTTCAAAAGATAAAGGGACAATTCAAGTGGCACGGTAGCGTTCAACTCGCCTGCCTCGCAAAGCGTGAACGCGTCGTCGATGAGGTTAGCGCGATCCGCCGGGCTGAATTTCGTGTGATTGTTCAACAAAGTAGCAATGATCGACGACCACATCTCCTCCGGATAGGTCACGCGATAGAATCCACTTTGATTCACGTTGCACTTTACGTACTCCACGTCGGCGGGTATTTCGAACGTCACTGAAAGTACAGAACGACATTTTTTTTTTTTTTTTGCTCCCGCGGGATGAAAAGTATCGCGCGATTATTATCAGGTGACAAGTTCATTCGTATCTGGAAATACATCTGTCTTTTTCACGACACGTTGTCTCTCAATTCAAATGTACGTGGTGGGAAGAAAAGTTTTTTGCCCATGGCTGTCACATGTAAAGAATCTGACCTTGATTTTCAAGATCAAAAAATTCTTTTTTCTTTGCATTGTATTCTACTCGTCGCGAAGGTAAAACTTCTCCAAGGAACCTAATAGTTTCTCTTGCAAAATGGCAAAAAAGTTTTTCAATCATTTAACACTGAGTTCTAACAGCGACTTTATCATTCTGAACGCGTGGATGTCTATATCACGTAAACAATTAGTTTCATCACTTGATTAGTTAGACTCACACTGATGATAAATCAAATGTTAGCGAAACTTAATACGAAAATCACGTAATATCATAAAGTCGCTGTTAGCACGCAGATGATCCGCAACGTTAAATGATTGAGAAACATTTTTGCCATTTTTCAAGAGAACCTGTGGTTCCTTGGAAAAGCTTCATCTTCGTGATGAGTAGAATACAGTGAGAAAAAAAATTTTTTTTGAAATTGAAATCTCCATCAAATCGAAGCCACAAACTTTTCTTCCCTGTACGTAAATAGAAATTAAATTCTTTTTGCGGCAATTCGACGCAAAACACAGATACTTTCTTACTAAAGAAATCTTCAATGCTTAGCATCTTGCGAAACGAATGAAATTGCTGGCTAATGATTGCAAAATTATTCAAAAATCATATAAAATTAATATCGACGAGTCACGTAAGCAGAGTCTGAGTAAGAGCAACTGAGAAGTAAAATTTTATATAA